CCTGTTAGCAGTCATAGGGGAGCTCGGTTAGAGGTGCCTGGGATTTGTACTGAAATCGTCTGTTGTCTGGACCTGGCCTAGATCCCCAATCTCCCAAATGAGTGTACAGCAAAGGTTTAAATAAATGAGACAAGAAGTATGATTTTAGGGTTCCAGGAGGGTCAAAACCCCTCTGCAGAGTTCCAGACTCTGAGAACTAAGACAAAGACTTCTCTGGACTGCCCGTATTTATTAGGTCCAAACAAAGGGTGGGGAAACTGAGGAAAGCACGGGCAATGAGCAGGACCTTGGGAGTCACTTCAAAGGCTTCTCCAAGCCATAAATTATGCTGATTTAGGAGAACCGTCTTATCTCCAGGGTGGCATTTACGGTAGGAGTGCGACTGCAGGATTGAAATGCCTTAATTGATGTTTGAGCCAGGTGTCCTCAGGTGTGGCCTTGTCTTGCCCTTTGAGGTGTCTCTGGCCTCACAGGCCACTCAGGCCTCAGCCAGGACCAGTGATTCATAGAAGTTCACTTACTAAGAAGCAGCTCCCATCCCAGGCAAGGGGCCGAGGCCTAGGACAGACTCACAGATAAACATGGAGAGCCAATTAGTGAATTTTAAATCCTGGTCAGAGCCGCTTCCCAGTGGTCTCCAACAGTCTGTGTGCGCCTTGACATTCTTCCCAGCAAGGCCAGAGAGGTCTCAGATTAATCCCATGATTAAATTCTCTTCCTTCCCATCTCAAGTCTGACGCTTACTAACTTTGTGGTAAGTTACTAAGAGGTCCCCCAAAGCTTCATGTGCTTATAGATGGGACTTTGGGGGTGATTTGGTCACGGGGTGCCACCCCAGGGATGAGACTCCTGAGGAGTTTGTAGATAAACGTGCTGTTGGGAGGCGAACCCCGATGGGAGGAAGTCACTGGGGGCGCGGCCTGGAGGGTCCTCAGCCCCCTCCTCCCTTGATGTCTCTTCCTGCAGCCATGCCGTGGACTGTCTCTCCCTTGTGATGCCCTCACCGTGCCACCCTGCCTCGGAGGCAGCTGAGTACAGACTGAAAACCTTGCAAACTGAGCCAAAATAAGCCTCTGTCCTTAGAGCTGTGGACGTCAGGTCTTGATACTCAGCACAAGGAAAGTAACTAAGAGACTGAGCAACTCCACCTCCCCTCCTCAGTCGTCCACCCTCATCGTGGACTCATGGCGCCCACCACGCCAAGGGTCAGGGTGAGGTAGGTAAGGAGCCAGCCTGTGGTACCCCGGATTATCACTGTGGGAATGTGTGATCCTGTTCCTATCTGCTCACATTTCACATGCAGAGCACGCACACTGATCACTCAGGACCGAGGCCTCCTGAGGAGGCGTGAAAGCCGTCTGTTCACCTGGTGCCAGCCTCTGACCTTTCCCTGCTTCTGTCAAATTGACTATGACCTTTGTTCACTTCCACCTCACTAACAGTTGTCTCTCAGCTTCGCCAAGACTATGTCCCACAACCTGGGAGACAGACGCTCTTAAAATCTGCTTTCAAAGGCTTTAGGCAGACATGTTATTGGAGACAGAGAGGAGAGGATTTGTCGTTTAATAAATACCGATAAAGCAGGGCCTGGTGGTGCACACTATAATTGCAGCACTCTGGGAGGCTGAGGCAGGAGGATCTCGAGTTGTAGCCCAAACCTGGGCAACCTAGCAAGACCTAGGCCCCCTCTGCATGGTCCTGAGGGCAGGGATATGTGACATTGCCACCTGGTCTGAGACAACAGGAACCATTCCTTCCGGAGGGCAGCCGGGCCTAAGGCATGCTGGGAAGTGTCCCTAGAGGGCTGCAGAGGCCCTAGGTGGAGAAGGGGCTTCCACTGTCACCAGCACACCCTGTCCCTCTTTGTATCTGTCCCGGGTGGCTCTCTCAGAGCTTTCACCTTAGGTTCCTATCATTGTTTGACTCACACCTGAGGCCCCAGGGACAGCCCCTCACCAGGCACCTGTGATGCCAGCTGCATCAAGTCCCCATCCAGGCCCTGCTGACTTGGTGACATCTAACCGGCCTGGCCTGCCCCACCAGTGGGTCTTCACGGGCTGCTCCCGTGGTCACAGAGGCCAGCATGGGCAATGAGGCCCTACTGCTCAGCAAGAAACAGGCTCCTTTAGAAGAAATGGACTTGGGGGGCTGAGGCAGGAGGATCTCTGCAAGTCTGAGGCCACCCTGGGCTACACAGTGAGTTCAAGCCCAGCCTGAGCTACATAGCGAGACCCAGTCTCAGAAAACCAAGAGGAACAGGAGGATGAGGCCACAGAAAGGCACAGACCTTTAGAACAACAACAGGAATTGAAGCGGTTGCAGTGTGACTGGCTGTGGCCCCTCCAGGGGGAGAACCACCACTGTCTCCTGAGATCCACGCCATGTTGGAACTTAAGACGCTAGGAAACCAAGCAACCAGCCTGCCTCCCTGCTAAGCAGTAGTGAACCTATCAGTGCACAGCCTAGAGTCAAACATCTCACTTCCGGGGCTGGGGATTTAGCTCAGCGGCATAAGCACCTGCCTTGCGAGCAGGCAGTCGTGAGTTCGATCCCTGGTACCGATAAAAAGGAAAAAGACAAAAAAAAAATCCCACTTCCCCTATCTTCCTTCTCCTGTGCCCGCCATTAGCAAATGGGAACCAGAAATCTGAGCATCTCCTGGGAGGTTGACCGCAGCAAATAAAGGGAATTCCCTTCTACCATCTCTTTGAAGGCAAATATTTTTATTACTGTTTTGCTTTATTCTGATTAACGGTACTGCTCTATTCAATATTCTGTTTTGATAAGCTCTATAATGTTCTGTATTTCATTTTATTTTGATATACATGATTAAAAGAACAACTATTGTAAAGATAACAAAATACAATGTGATACCTATTACCGTTATCCTGGTGACCTGCTGTGAAGTTCTGAACCAATTTCACTAAAAAACAAACAAACAAACAAACAAACAAAAAGAACCCCCAGAAGCAGGTAGCAGAGACACCGAGGCAGTGATCAGCGATCAGAGCGCGGGATGGTGGGGACTCAAGCTGGAGTCTCCGCTTTGGCCCCGGGGACCCTCAGCATCCTCCTCCCAGAAGAGCGAAGTTGCCCTCAGTGGGCAAGTGTCACAGAGAGAGCCAGCCTCCATCTCAGCTGCACAGCGCAGGGCTCGGCAGCTGCGGTTCCAGCCTTTTGGCTGCTCCTTCCTTGGCGCTCAGGCACCCGCCTCAGGAGGTGATTTTACATTTTCATTTTTTTTTTTATTATTTAAGAAGAAAAGAAAAAAAAAGTGAAAGGGTACAAGTTATACAGATTTACAGAAGAAAAAAATGCGCAGTAGGCAATCACTAGTTAATGGATTACATATTGCCATCTTAGAAATAATTGTTCAAGTCACAAAATTAAAGCTTGTAGAGTGGACATTCCAACAACGATACTGCAAACAGTTCTGTTCAATGATCCAATAAAACTCTGTGATATCATTTTCTATCTTACATTTTCATTTTTAATGACAGCTGTGCACAGTGCCAGCGGTGGTGCCTGTGGTCGGGGGGTGGCAGGGCACAGAGTGGGGCACAGAGCACCGAGGTGCTTTGCGTCCCCCGCGCTACCCGCCCCCCGTGTCTGTGGTCCCCACTCGCAGATGTCCGTCTCCCTCTTCCCCTTAACTGCCTCCCGTCTCACACTTTAATTTGTTCATACTCTGTTTCTCACAGAAGAGGAACCATGCAATATTTAAATTTGTGTCTGATTATTTCACATAACACTGTGGTCTCAGGATGCATCCGCTTTCCTACAAGCAACTTGATTGGGGGGCGGGGTATCGGGAATTGAACTCAGGACCTTGTGCGTTCCAGGCAGGTGCCATGCCGCTGAGCTACATCCCTGCCCCCAGTGACTCAATTTTTCTTCTTTATAGCTGAGTAGTACTCCTTATGCATAAATACCACACTGTTTTATGCATTTATTTTTTTTTAATTTTAGAGTTGAATTATATTGTTATTTATTTATTTTGTAGAGGGAGTGCTGGAGATCGAACCCAGGGCCTTGTATATGCAAAGCCAGAGCCCTGCCACTGGGCCTCAACTCCAGTCCTGCTTCTCTGTTTCAAGTCAGAGTCTGTCCATGTAATCTAGGCTGGGCTCCAGCTTACTGAGATCCTCCTGCCTCTGCCTTGTGATTGCTACTTGGTGCTCCTGGGGGTGCATGGGCCGCCATGACGGGATGTCTCCATCCGTAGAATTTTTCAAAGCAAAACTTCCTTTCTTTCTCAGCCCTGGACTCTGAGGAGCTCTGCAGGGGTGGAGAGGACTCCAGGGGCCAGCAGGTTCCCAAGCCATGGGATTTACTCTGAAGGTTCCTCAGTGGTTTCAACATGCAGAGCTTTTCACCTGGCGAGTACATGGTGGTGCACACACCTGTAACCCCAGCACTCAGGAGGCTAAGGCAGGAAGATTGCCGTGAGTTTGAGGCTAGCCTGGGCTGCAAAGTGAGCTCAAGGCCTCCTTGAACTGCATTGTAAGACCCTGTCTCAAACACACACACACACACACACACACACGCACACACCAGCTCTTTGCCTCTGCTAACCCCAAATATTTTTAAAAGAAGGTGAGGGTTACACAGTCAGGTTCACTTCTAATCCCCGCACCCAAGAGTGTGAAGCAGAGGGCCAAGGAGAGTTCAAGGCCAACCCAGACCACAGAGCGAGACTCTGTCTGGAGTACACACACAGAAACTCCCAATGATGGTGACCACACGGGGAACGGTGACGCCTCCGAGAACCCCGACCTTGCGTGGCCAGGTGCACTGGGCTGTCCCGGTGGACTCCCTGCAGGGCCCCACACACCTCCTAGACTTCGAGGGGCTTTGATTTGTGGGAGCCACAGCTCAGTGACTTCCGTGCCTTGTGCTGGTCGCAGCACACAAGGCACCTCAGAGAGCAAACAGGCAAAGCCCCAAGTGGCCGGGGGTGTCCACAAGAGACAGCAAGGTTCACGCAGCTGTCACACAAGTGCCACAGATCCCCGAGCCGTGACAGCGTAACAGAGAGGGACCCCGAGGCCCCACATCCTGCATCTGTCTGTGCTGTTCTCTCCCCTGGGAAGATGAATCCACACTGTCCACGGAAGATGAGGAAGGTCAGTGAGGCGATGGCCTCTGGAGACCCGGGACGAGGGACACAGCGACCTCAGCCTGGGCTGGCCTGGCCTGCAGAGCCGGGGTGACTTCCTGCGGCCCGGCCCCCGCTTTGAACTCCAGCAGTTAGTTTATGCTGCGGCTGCTGCTGTTTGTCCGAAGCTGGCACAGATGTCTCAGAGTCACCTGGGTCACCTTTTTGAAGTCCTGTTTTTGTTTAGTTTTTTTTAATTCCTTGCAAACTGCTTGTGTATGTGAAGGGCTCTGCTTTGAGCCCTGGCTCAAAGACCCGGGGACCCTGCATCCTGCACGGCCGGAGGCGACGGGATCCAGAGGTAGGTGTCATGTGGGGTCCCCGCACAGGGACCCCGAACAGAGGCCCCTCGGGCTCCGGGTCCAGGTCGTGGCGTCCTCTGTCCCCCACGTAGAGAAGCTCAGGGCTGTGGCTCCCACTCAATCGCCTCTGTGGGCGTCGCTGTGTGGTGTCACCACCCCATGTGCGCTCCTCCCTGGCAACAGCCACAGGGGCTGTGGTCACATCTCGTCTCCTTCCCTGAGGCCCTTGGGGTCGCAGTCTGAGCCTGGGGCTGTGTGTGGCCCGACCAGCACCACCAAAATGACCCTGACCTCTTCAGCTTCGTCATGCGGTGGGTTCAGCCTTATAAATTCAGGTTCTCCTCTGCCCCCCCTTCCTCCCTGCGGCTGCTCAGTGAATGGATCCCTCTGACAGCCGTCTCAAGGCGGTCACAAACCGGTTCTCCTTCCAGCTTTCCTGCAGGTTGTGCATAAATGTTTACTGGTAGACTGCGGAAATAAAACGTCTTCATGTGTGTGTGCATGTGCGTGGATGTGTGTGCACGTGTGTGTACGTGTGTGTGTGTGCAGGCTTGTGGGGCCGGACACTGGATCCCTGCCTTTCCCAGGCTGAGTGCTCTTTACTGAGTCATGAGTCACACTAGAAAGCTCTGAAAATAAAGCACAGTACATCGAGGATTGCACCCTGCGCAGGCAGGCGGGAAACAATCTGAAATCTGCTTTCCTGAAGCGTGGCCAGTGGAAATCCAGTCATAGATCAAAATTTCTACCAGAGTCTCAGGTTCTTCCAGATGTGACGGGTAATTGTGACCACTTTTATCAGTGAACCTTTATTGCAGTGAACCTTGTAACCCTGGAGAATGAATTTTAACAGCTAGGTAGCAATTGAGCAGGATGTCTTTTTGTTAAGATCGACCTAGGATCTGGAAACTAATCAATAGCGGATGATAGGATGCGTCCTTTGCATGAGGCTAAAAATATCTATTTACTGTCATAAACAGACACGTGGGCAAAGGACAGCTGGATGGGCAGATGAGCGGGAGACTGCACAGCATCTACGGCCTGCTCATTGTTTTCCGCATGGTAATACTGAGCCGGGTGCTGTGGTTTACCCTGGGGTCAGTCCCCAACACCGACACCAGAACCAGAACAAAGCGCTCTAACCTGGGCTGTTTTCCTTACTTGCTTACTTACTATCTGAAAAGGGGCTCTTCTGATTCAGTCTTTGTTTTCATTCTGTTCATGCCCTCGATGAGCGTCCTTTAGACTCAGATGCAGAGATAAATAGAAGGAGGGATGTGTCTCCAAAAGCTTCCGGCAGTGAGGTCAGCCTCCAAAGCTGATGCCCAGTGGCCATCAGAGGAGGGCAAGGGGAGGGGAGGGGAGGGGAGGGGAGGGGAGGGGAGGGGAGGGGGGCCTGCGGTCCTCACCCTGCTTTGAGCTCAGATCAGAACTTCGGAGCTGCCTCTCTACCTGCAAATGAAATCATTTTTTTACAAAGGGGCTTTGTGGACTGTAAAATACTTTCGAAACGAATTTTTATTTTTCTAACTTCTTCCTCTAGGAATACCATGTTTTTCCACCGACATGGTGGTACATACCTGTAATGTCAGCACTCGAGAGGCCAAGGCAGGAGGATCTCAGTGAATTAGAGGCCAGCTTGGCCTATGGGTTCCCAGCCAGCCTGGGCTGTCTACTGGGACACGATCTCAAAAACGCAAAGCAAAGGGGCTGGGGGTTTAGCTCAGTGGCACAAGTCTCGAAAGCATGAGGTCGTGAGTTCGATCCCTGGTAGCAAAAAAAAGGAAAGCACCACAGAAGGAATCCCGCGGCTCTGTAATGAACTTTCATCCTGCAGTCAAGTATTCCCTCCCTCTGAGTTTTCTCTTCTACTGCAAAATTGTGAGACATAAGTAAAACCAGGAAATTTCCAACGCATCATGTGAGACAAAACTGGGCAGAAGCACCATGTCCTACGATCACACGCAGCTCGGACGTGCGGCCTCAGACGCCGCCTCCCCCTCTCCCTCTGCTTCAGTCCTCGGATTCCCTCGGTTTCCAAAGCAGAAAATGTAAGCTCGAGCCTTTGTGTAACAGCACGTGTGCTTCAGCCCTTTTGCTCTTCTATCTGTTTGCTCGTCTGTTTTCTGGTGTTTGCCACAGGTCTCACATCCGGGATGTGAACTCGCTGTGGGGCGCAGGGTGGCCCCAAAGGCGCATCCTCCTGCCTCAGCCTCCTGAGCCCTGGGCGGTCAGACGTGTACCACCACGCTCGCTTCCTCTACATTGTTATGGTGGGCAACACAGAAGTAAGCATCCAGCTGATCACTGCGTTAGGAGGCTCAGCGCAGGAGTACCTGCTCCCAGACCCATTCAGCAGGCCACAAAGTGCTCATTTTAATTGAGGCTGTTGAGACTACAGCCGTCTACAGCATCAGAAACCGTCTCCTTTTTTTACTCATTCTATACACAAACCCAAAGATACCCAAGACCACAAAGCAAGAATCAGCTACAAACGCCTTTGGGCAGGTCGGTGAGTGGGTGTTTGTGAAGAGAGAAGGCAGTTTTCTTTCTGGCCTATTCCTCCAGGTTTTTGGGTTTCACTTTGGTGCTGCATTGAGCTCTGTTTGTGATCCAATGACTTTTTGCTGGTAAAGTTAGCTGCTAACTGAGCGTTTGGACCGACCCTGTCCTCGGTACGCGGCCATCGCCTCATTCGGACGCGGCTTCCTGCACCAAGGGGAAAGCTGCCGCTTCTGTGTGTGCATTTTGAGGTCTTAGTCTCATCCTGGGGTGTTTCTCTCCCATCAGACCTGAGCTCTGAGAAAACTCAAAAGGATGAAAAAGAAACTTTCAGAACCATTTTTATTTCGCTATTGATTCTTCCTGGATTTTCTCTTCATTGTTAAGGTTTATGACAGTTTCGCTTTGTTTAAGATATTATTTCAAGGCGACAGCTGATGTAAGAATGATTCATTTGTATTCGTGTGCAAACAGCAGAGGAAGCAGAATTCCACTTCATGGTGTCCAACCCCGCAGGCAGCGCATAGGGGTTCCTCGTCAGTGTACTGGGGTGAGGTCACCCCAGAAAAGTCTGTGCAGCCACACTCAGCTGCAGACTAAACTTCCTTAGAAGGAAAGAGCGACTTTTAAAGAATTGTTTCAGAGGGTCGGGGTTTTAGTTCAGGGGCACAAGCACCTGCCTGGCAGGCACAAGGTCGTGAGTTTGATCCCTGGTACCCAAAAAGAAAGTAAATATTATTTCAGGAAAGGGCACTGGGGCTTTCTCTAAATATTGGCACCAGTCATTTTTAGCCACATATGACAACTGATCACAGATGCTCATAAAAAGCTCAAAGACCAAATGCTGTTTTCCTGTAACCCAGCCAAGTACCTTCCTCTAAGCTTCCTCTAAGACAAAAGCAAACCCTGTGTTGGAGAAAACCCAGGAAGCCGAGCGGCCCCTCCCAGAGTGCCTGCGTGCACAGACCTTGGGGGGCGGGGGGTTCAGGGTAATTTTCCCCACAGAGCTTTGATGTCTTTGCCTTGAACAATGACTTTTCCCATCTGGCTTCCGAGTGGCTTCTGGACTCGTCCGTCCCTGTGTCCCCTCACCCCGGCCTGAGTCCTCTGGTTTGCAGAGAGCCTCTCAGGGCCTGGTACTGGGGCTGAGATGGGGCAGACTAAAAGCTAGTGACAGCTCTGCACAGACAGGACTTCTGCTGAGCCTCGCTCTTTCTGCAAAGGAGAGAGGGAGAACAGAGAGAATGTGGGAGGGTAGGAGAGAGGAGAACAGAGAGAATGTGGGAGGGTAGGAGAGAGGAGAACAGAGAGAATGTGGGAGGGAGGCACTCAGAGCACACCGAACAGGAAGTGGGTGTAACACCAATAATCCCAGCACCTGGGAGGCCGAGACAGGAAGACTGCAAATTCAAACCAGTTTCCATAAATTGGTGGTTTAGTGAGAGCCTGTCTCAGAACATAAAAGTAACACAAGATTGGGATTACAGCTCAGTGCAAAGGCCCAGGGTCCAGCCCGCAGTACTGTGAACAAAACTCTGCCAAAAGCCAAAGAAGGGAAGGAAATACAGCTAGCTGGGCACCGTAACCCCAGAATTTGGGGAGGCTGAGGCAGGAAGATTGCAGAAGACTCTTTTGTTTTAGGGTGGAGGGATGGAACTCAGGGCTCCTCCCATGCGTACTCCACCACCCAAGTAACAGTTTTTCAACAGGAAAGCACAGAACAGAAAAGACAATCAGGGCGGAATATGTCTCCAGGCAGAGAATTGCCGGACCCTGGGTTCCACGCCGGCACTTCAAAAAATCAAATGAAATCAAGACAAAACTTATCTCAAAATGTATCCTTCATGCTGGGCTTGATGGCACATACCAGAAATCACAGCACTCAGAAGGCTGAGGCAGGAAGATCACTGCAAGTGTGAGGCACACCTAGTCTACATAGCAAGCAACTGTCTCCAAAAAAAAAAAAAAAAGAAAAGAAAAAAGAAAAAGAAACAAAGCAAGCAAGAAATGTGTCCTCAGCACCTTCAAGAGTATTGCATTTCTCTGCCGTGCAAAAGCCATTTGTCCTCTTCCTTTCTCAAATTTTGTAAATTTTTTAAAATGAAAATTGCATACTATTATATGCACATGCAATTTAGATTAAATGTGCATACATAGGGGCTAGGGATTTAGCTCAGCGGCATAAGCGCCTGCCTTGCAAGCAGGCAGTCTTGAGTTCGAACCCCAGTACAGATAAAAAGGAAAAAGACCAAAAAAAAAAAAAAAGTGTTTTAGGAAGCCTTAACTGGTTGCCTCTCTTAGAAATTTCAGGAGTTAGAGTTAACCCAGTAAAAATAAATCTCTCCAGGTATTGATGACTGTTGTTAACGGTTATGTGCAGCATATTAAAAATTTTTTTAAATCCCAAGATTTGGGCTGGGGATTTAGCTCAGCGGCAAGAGCACCTGCCTGGCATCTGCAAGGTCATGAGTTTGATCCCTGGCACCAAAAAGTAAATAAAATAAATAAATGCTAAGATTCAGGGCAGGTCCCAGGTTGTTGCCTAGACCAGATGATTCTAGACAGTAGGACACCTGTGTGAATGCAGCTGGACCGAGCTCCACAGGGAAAAGTTAACTGGCAGGTGCACAAAGGGTTAGTGGGGGTCGAGAAGGCGAGACTAGTTAGTGCCTGGCAGGACGGGTCCTGGGGCAGGGTGTGATGGCCGGCACCTGTCATCTCAGTACTCACAGGCTGAGGCGAGAGGATCTCCTTCAAAGCTGACCTGAACCGCGTAGTGAGACCATGTCTCACAAAACTAAAGAAACAACCCATTCTTAAATGGGAACTCAGGCTCTGTGCAGGGTGGAATCTCAGGTGTCCCTGTATTGTCGTGGCCCCTCGGTCTTCTGCTGTGGGCCTGAGGAACAGCAAGGGCGGCCGTCCGCGAACCACTCCAGAGGGCAAAGACCTGTGGATGCAGGGGCTTCTGTCACAGCGTCACCTCTGGCCAAAGCTTGAGTCCTGAGCACAGTCATGGCTTTGGGCCGGTGGTGTTGTGAGAGTCGACCCCCCTGCTACAACCCCCTCCCCAGAGCGGAGAATGAAAGGGTTAACTCCCTAACTCCCCAGAGCGGGGAATGAAAGGGTTAACTCCCTAACTCCCCAGAGCAGGGAATGAAAGGGTTGACTCCCTAACTCCCCAGAGCGGGGAATGAAAGGGTTGACTCCCTAACTCCCCGGAGCTCTCAGAACAGAGCAGTAAAGAGTGCTTCACTCCCTAAACCTTTCCCAGGAGATAGTCAGAGCAGGGCCAAAAGGAATGTCTCTGCTAGTCATTAACCACTAAATGCTCTGTTCTCTATAAAGATAGAGATAAGCAAAAGAATGTACTATATAAACAGGACCAGGAAGCACCTGGCACTCTAAGGTCAACCCAAGACCCTCGGTCTCCATGGTTACTCAGCCCCAGACCCTCAAATCAGCATTAGCCAGGTCCTGCGCCGCTCAAAATTAACCAATGCGATTTGCTTCTGTAAACTTGCTTGCCTCCTACATGTACCTTTAAAAACCCTACACAAATTCCCCTCGGGGCCCCTCTGCACTTGTTTGCCTGAGGGACCCCATGCGCATGGAAATAAACTTTTTTTCCTCACCAAGAGTTGAGTCCTTGGGGTCTCTTTCCCTGCGGCGTCGGCCCTAACATCTTGGAGGCCCCACCGAGATAGCACGTCTCACGGAAGGTGACCTCAACGGCTCTGCGGTGGGTGAGTACGACCGGTCGCTTCTTATTTTTACTCTGAGGATCAATCTACCGGTATTTTACGCCCCGAGCCAAACGGCTCCGGTCTAGGGGCAATTTTTGTTACCTGTTTTTGTTATCTGTTCTCTGTTCTTGGGTGATCGGGGGACGCCCCACACGGTTTTCCGTGACTCACCGTCTGCGATAGGATTTTCCTATCGGTTTGGGGCCCAATCTGTGGTCCGTCAGGGCCAATTCGGAGACACCCTCCGAGGTGACTCGTTTGGGGAATTTCATTCCCAATCTGTGGTCCGTCTGGGCCAATCTGGGGAATTTCATTCCCAATCTGTGGTCCGTCCGGGCCAATCTGGAGGCACCCCCTAAGGTGACTCGTTTGATGTGAAACTAATGCGTGAGAGTGAGGTGGCCGGCCTGTTTGTCCTGTGTGTTGTGACTGTTGTGATCGGTTATTTGTTGTGTCGCGCGTACGCTAACCACTCTTTGTCTTCAGAACACCATGGGACAAATGACATCGTCCCCATTGTCCCTCACCCTCGACCATTGGTCGGAGGTTCGAGAGAGGGCTCACAATCTCTCCTTTCAGGTTAAAAAAGTAAATGGCAGACTTTCTGCTCGTCTGAGTGGCCCACATTCTCCGTGGATTGGCCACCAGAGGGGACTTTCCACCTTCCCCTCATCTTAGCAGTTAAGAACATCATCTTCCGCCCTGGACGAGAGAGCCACCCCGACTGGGTCACCTACATCTTGGTATGGCAAGACCTCAGGGAGAAGCCCCCACCGTGGGTAAAACCCTTCCTTCCTCCGCCCTCTCCTTGGTTGCCTGTTTAAACTTGTTACTAACTTAGGGGCTTGTTGCCCATTTCTGTTGCAGGATCCATATGGCTTATTAGATTCAAGGTTCATGATAAGAAAAATTATTTCCTTTAGCTGACCAAACTATGCAAGAAGCTCCCTTTGTTTGTGTCTTTAATGTTGTGGCACCTTGTTTAATATGTAAGACTTCAATTGATTGCTTGCAACCTCGGCATGCCTTTTAAAAGGAGTATTTTTTCTCTCTGGTGAAAATGTAAACATGTACACATATATATGTATATCTATGGTTGTTAAGAGTCATGTCAACTTTGCCAAGTAAAAACCAGGCGGTACTATATTTGAGCCAGTTAAAAGGTTACAGTTTTGTTTTTAAAATACAACATTTTTATGTGGTAAAAAGACATAAAATAAGTATGTTTTGGGCTACTAGAAGGTGACTTCAAGGGTTTTGTTGAGAGTTTTGATGTTGTCTGAGAAATGAGAAAAAAAGGTAATTGACTGGTAATAGTAAAAAGAGGGACAAAGAGAGTGGTCTTCAAGTAAAGGTGTCTGGCTATGCCAGAATGTAGAAAAAGATTAAAGCTTAGTTTGAGAGGTATTATTGTAAGTTGTAGAAGGCTCAAGAGGATGTGAATTTTATTTGTCTTGGTTTATAGTACTACAAATAACAGGTTTGACAAAAAGTAAATGTGTTCAGAATTTGACAGTATTAGATCAGTTTTGGTAAAAGTATACATAAGATTGTACTTTGCTGCAAAATGTTTTCATTAAAATGAGATTATAGGTGATATTAAAAATAAGATACAAGTTCTTACATGCGCTGTAAACATCTGGGAGATTATACAGCACAATTTTGTTACCTATGAAAAAGCCCTTTTTGTTAAAAATATAATTTTAATAAAATAATGGCCTGTCACGTGACACCCTTGGACAAAAAAACAGTGTGCCATCCAGATGAAGCCGGCTCTCTGATCCGGAATGCCAAAACCATGTTCTCCTTTTGTGCCACCCTGACTGGACATCCAGAGGTAAGGAGGTTTCCCAATATTGCCAGTTGTTCTCTTTGTAACTCAGTCGGCCCCACATGTTAGACAAAAATTACAAAGGTTTGAGAGGTTTAAGAAAATGCCCCTCAGCCAGTTAATAGAGATAGCACAAAAAGGTCTTTGAGAACTGAAAAATTTACAAAAAGATAGCCAAGATGTTAAAATTGCTCTATGAGAAAAACTTTTAAAAAACAGACGAGACTTTCTGGGGGCAGTTGGATACTGTAGGCTAAATTTTACTGAAAAGCTTGCCTCTATATGACTCCCATAAGGGAGAAACTCAAAATTCACTGAACTGGACTGATAAATGTAAACAGGCCTTCCAACAGCTCAAGCGGGCCTTGACAGAGGACCCAGCCCTGGGACTCCCTGACGTTACCAAGCCTTTCATCTTGTTCATAGATAAACTCAGGGACATTGCCAAAAGAGTCCTAACTCAGGACATTGGCCCTTAAAAGAGGCCTATAGCCTACCTCTCCAAAAGACTTGATCCAGTGACAGGAGTATGGCCCCCTGCCTTAGAATACTAGCTACTGTGACAATGTTACTTAAGGAGACAAAAAAAAAACTCGCTTTGGGCAAGTGATTTCTGTGGTAACCTCTCACAGTTTAGAGACTCTTATCAAAACCCCCCCTAAAAAAAAAAAAAAAAAAAAAAAAGGGCTCTCAAATGCCAGAATTCTACTGTCAAGCCCTGCTTCTAGACCCAGAGTTAATGATATTCAAGACTTCTTCAGCTTTAAACCCAGCCACCCTTATGCCTGATGATGATCCGGAGGAACAAAGGACACCTCTCCATGAGTGTGCTGACATCCTCGAACTGCAGCAGAACCTACAGGCTGATCTTACTGACCAGCTTTTGGGAAATGCCAACAACTGTTCGATGAAAACAGCTTCATCCAAAACGACAAACGAGTGGCCGGGGCAGCAGTGACCACCGAAAAGGAGGTACTCTGGGTTAAGCGGGTAGAGCCTGGCACTTCTGCCCAAAAGGCAGAGCTTGTTGCTTTGACTGAGAGGCTAAAACTAGCCACGGAAAAGAGGGTAAACATTTTTTTACTGAAGACATCCCTTTGCTACTGTACATATACGGGGAAGCCATCTAAAAATGCTCCACAGATTCTAGATTTGCTGGCAGCTGTCTGGCGGCCTCAATGGGTTGCTATTCCTTACAAGGCTCACCCAACCAGAGATAAAAAATAACAACCACATCAGAGGGGTCAACCAAGAAAGTAACTGCTCTGATACTAGTCCTCTGACCTTGTCAGAACTAGTCTACACAAAAAAAAAAGACCTACAGTTGACATCTCAACTTGGAATAAAGTCTCCCACCCCAAGGGGCTAATACCAGTTACCTGATAAACAAGTACTGTTACTGGAGGCACTAAGATGGGAGCTGTTTCACCTTACAGAATTGTTCAGAACTCAGTATTTTATTCCAAAACTCTACAAACTGACCACCTCTTCGAGCTCCAGATGCCCACAGTGTTTGTTAGTCAACTCAGCCAAGAGCTCTGCGTTGGAGACCACCCGACATCAAAAAATTGTTCCAGGAGAACATTAGAAAATAAACTTCATGGACATGGTAAAACTTAATTTACAGGGACACTGCTATCTCTTGGTATTAATAAACATTTTTACTGGCTAGGTAGAGGCTTTCCCTACTAAGTCTGAGTCAGCCTTAGTGGTAGTTAAAAGGCTATTACATGAGATCATACCTTGATTTGGCCTCCCACTATCAATGGGGTCCGATAATGGCCTGGCTTTCATAGCCCGAGTCACCCAAAAGTTAGCCCAGACATTAAAGATTAATTAAAACTCCACTGTGCCTATCAGCCACATAGCTCAAGGCAAATAAAACGTATGAACCAAAGTCTCAAGGACATTTTAGCTAAGCTGTCTTCAAAAACTGGCAATAATTGGATGAGCCTTCTTCCCTTTGCACTGTTAAGAGCTAGATATACCCCATATGTTTCTAAAATTTCCCCCTTTAAAGCCATGTTTGGGAGGCCCCCGCCATTGGTTCCAAGATTGTCAGAAGACAAATTAGCTGAAATTACTAATCAAAATCTTAAGTCCCTACAGACACTCCAACCTGTGTTGGCCTGGATCCACCAGCTGTTTAGACAAAAACACTTGGACCTGCCTTCAGAGACCAAGGCCTCAAGGACTCCAGTCTTGGTTCGATGTCACCACCGTGACTCCCTTAAACCCCGCTGAGAAAGACCTTTCACCGTGGTGCTCAGTACCCCCACTGCCATCAAGGTAGCAGGAAAAACTGCGCGGATTCACTACACTCATGTAAAGCCACTGGAAACAGCAGACAACGAGGGACATACTCAGTGGACTACACAACAGACTGGTAACCCTTAAAGTTAAAAATTGACTAACTGTTTTAGCTTGCTTGTTTTGATTTTAATAACATTAATGCCGACCTTACATGGCGGCTTTGGTCCCCCTGTAAGCAAAAAAAAAACCAATTGTTAAAGATCTTTTGTTTTAAAAAAAAAAAAAAGGGGGGTCTCTGCGCCGCACTTAAAAAAAAAATGTTGTTTTTACACTGATCATACTGGGATTGTAAAAGATACAATAAAAAAGTTGAGAGAGAAAATCAGATCTCAAGAGCCCCCTTCAAATAAAGCCAAAGTGTTCTCTTTCCGAGAATCAATTCTGCCCTATATCCTCCCTTTATTGAGACCCCTGGCCGGATTCATTATAGTCATGGCTATAGCCCCTTGCCTCATTAACCGAGTAACCCGGTTTGTAAGGGCTCAGATCTCTCAGGTAAAAGTTATGGTGCTACGTCAACAATATGACCCCTTACCTATACAGGACTTTTAGGATTAAAAGTCATTGGAGAAATAAAAGGGGGGAATGTGAGAGTCGACCCCCCTGCTACAACCCCCTCCCCAGAGCGGAGAATGAAAGGGTTAACTCCCTAACTCCCCAGAGCGGGGAATGAAAGGGTTAACTCCCTAACTCCCCAGAGCAGGGAATGAAAGGGTTGACTCCCTAACTCCCCGGAGCTCTCAGAACAGAGCAGTAAAGAGTGCTTCACTCCCTAAACCTTTCCCAGGAGATAGTCAGAGCAGGGCCAAAAAGAATGTACTGTATAAACAGGACCAGGGAGCACCTGGCACTCTAAGGTCAACCCAAGACCCTCGGTCTCCATGGTTACTCAGCCCCAGACCCTCAAATCAGCATTAGCCAGGTCCTGCGCCGCTCAAAATTAACCAATGCGATTTGCTTCTGTAAACTTGCTTGCCTCCTACATGTACCTTTAAAAACCCTACACAAATTCCCCTCGGGGCCCCTCTGCACTTGTTTGCCTGAGGGACCCCATGCGCATGGAAATAAACTTTTTTTCCTCACCAAGAGTTGAGTCCTTGGGGTCTCTTTCCCTGCGGCGTCGGCCCTAACAGTGTGGGGTCCCTCAGCCAAAGTAGCTCTGCAAAAATGAATGAAGGAGTCAAATAAAGTAACGATCACACATATTGTGATGTCTCACCATGCAGTCTCACCAGGCAGTTCAGGCCGGCCTTGGCTCACCTTAGGCTGCTCTCAGATTTGCAGCCACGCTCCTGCCTCAGCCTCCCAAGTGCTGGGATGACAGGAGTGAACCACCACGCCCAGCTGTTTTTTCTTTTGTATTTTGTTTGTACATATTTGCAAGCACAGCGATGTGTTCCTGGTGGGGAGCTGCTACACACACACACTCACACACACTCCTTTTCATGCTCCCCCATCTCCTGTTCCTCTTCCCATTTGCAAAAGATCTATCGCCCTGTCTCCTATTGTCTGCCTTTTATTTTTGTTCTTTAAATGATTGATAGTCTAGATTTCTCAAGAGAATTTTCGGGTCTGTAAATGTGTGTCTGACTTTATCTCTCTCGGCTTTGTGGTCTGAGATAATGGCCCAGTGTGTCCTTCCTCACACAAGGCCCTGCTCTTGTGTGCACCCCACGTTTTCTTTACCCGCTCCTCTGTCCATGGCTCTGGGCTGCTCTGCCACGAGCTGCTGCAAACACGGGTGGGCATGCGTGGATAGCTGTGGCTGGAGGCCTTTAATTCTTTTTGGGGAAATACCTAGAGGGAATAGCTGATGCAGTGGAATTTCTGGTTCATTCTTGGGCAGAATCTCCATCATAATTTCCCCAGTGCTGCACTATTTGCGTGAAATTTGATAAATTTATAAAGTGGACCTGGGAAGTGCAGGAACAAAGGCTCCATTCCGAGACATTAGCAGGCTGTAAGAATCACAAAGGCCCGGCGCTGTGCTGGGTGGGGTTCGCTGAGGGCCCATTGGGATGCTAACGAGGGAGCCCGGCCCCTACCCAGGCCCTGCCTGGCGCGGCCACTGTGACCTCCAGCCCAGACCTGCAGGCCTCGCGCCGACCCGAGCTGCAGCGCCCGCAGCGCCTCTCCGGTGAGTCTCGTCTCCTTCCAGCCAGTGATCCAAGCGCGAGACGGTCGTCACTAGGCCAGGGCAGGACGCTGGGCGCCCTGTGACTCGGGTGTCACGTCTTCCTGTTCTGCCTTTGTCCCCAGACCCCCACCTGGACCGCAGGAAGCCGAGGGCTTTGGGGTGCTCACGGGACGTTGCTTTGTAGACACAGACTCTGGCCTCGCTGACCGTGAACATGAGTTTCCAGTGTCTGTCCCAGGCCTTTCCTCTCAAATCCAGGTCCGAGAGCTCCGCTCACCGAGCTGCATGCCCAGCTCTTAAAGTTTTAGTCAGTCTTGCTAAATTGCCCTGTGTGCTGGGATGACAGGCATGGCCCGCCACTCCTGGTTTACATCTGCGTGTTTGGTTTGGTTTGGTGTTGGTTTCTCGAGACTGGGTCTCCTTATGCGGTTCAGGATGGCCTTGAACTCAAAACAATCCTCCTGCCTCAGCCTTCAAGTGCTGGGATTGCAGGTGTGCGCCACCGCCCCTGGCTAGATCTGTGCGTGTGCATTAGTTGTAAACTGTCTGGTGAGGTCTCCCAGTTTGTTTTGCTGTGTTCTCTCCCGGAACTCCACTGGAGTTTGTTTATCTCGGTCCTCGAGCAGTGAGACGAGTCTGTCCTGATGGCCTCGCCTCAGAGATGGGCCTTCTTCCCCGGAACTAAACCGAGGTGGCTGGTTCTTCGTCCTCTTGCACAGCAATGCACATTCTAGGCGATCTGGCCCCCAGCTTGGTCCACAGGACTCCCACATAAGGACTCGGGTCCAGCGGGGACGAGTGGGGTGCAGTCCCCCACACTCCTCATGGCCATGAGGAGATCTGGAGTCTGGGACCTTGACAGGAGGTGAGGCTGCTGCCTGGGAAGCCCGAGTGCTGGACTGAGTGCTGGACTGATGTGTTCGAGCTGGTTTTCTTTTTCTTGTTTGCAGCCTTGAATGAACCCAGGGCCTTGGGCACTACAGATGAATGCTCTGCCGCAGGGTCTTGGGCACTGCAAATGAGCACTCTACCCCAGGGCCTTGGGCACTACAGATGAATGCTCTGCCCTAGGGCCTTGGGCACTGCAAATGAGCACTCTATCCCAAGGCCTTGGGCACTACAGATGAATGCTCTGCCCCAGGGCCTTGGGCACTGCAGGAGCGCTGTACCCTGACGTAGAGCTGTCTGATGAACTTTCCCATTGAAGTGGAAAGGGAAAAGCAACCCCTCAAAATTTTTAATTCCTACTGCGTGAGACAGTTTTGTATCCAAAGATCAGTGTAGAGGTGGATGCAGGAAAGACCTGAATTCAGCAGCTTCCTAAAGCATCTGCGGCAAGGGCCCAGGCTGACCCATGAAATGGGTGAAACAGTGATCGAAAAGAGCGGCTGCTGGCCCGCCCTTACCACCTGCGAGGAACGGGTCATGAATCCACAGTGCGCGGTTTACAGGATGAGGGCACAGAGACCGAGCAGTCCAGGGACAGGCAGCCCTGAAGATCGGCTCCAGGTGGAGCCCGGGAGGGCGGTGTGAGTGGCTGAGTGGGATCTGGAATGACTGCACGGGGAGGTTGGGGAGCAGAAGGCAACGACCGGTGAACTTCCAGGGAATATGAAATGATTTTTGAGATTCCCCCAAAACTCAGCCTGTAATCCAGGCTGGCTTTGAACTCACTGTGTAGCCCAGGTTGGCCTCAAACCCACAGAGTTCCTCCTGCCTCAGCCTCCCCAATTCTGGGATTACGGGCGTACGTCACCACGCATGGCTAAAGCATTGTAAAGCCATGTGCGGTTTCCACGGTGCTCCTCTTCCCAACTGAATGACACAAATCAAATTGAACAGTGGAAAGACAGAGCCAGGGTCCTCAAGCAGTCTTTCACGTTTCCTGGAGTTATGGTGGGGCTTAGAACTGGGGGAACCAGAATCCAGTCCTGGGGGCTCTCATGTGAGCTCCGCTGGGAAGGCTTCCTGCTCTTCACGGGTTCTTTCCAGTAAGATGATGCACCTTGAGATCAGCTGCAGCCAGGCATAGTTCTAAGTATAAAAGGGCCAGGGATGTAAGAGCCTGCGTGGCAAGCACAAGGTCATAAGTTTGATTCCCGGTACCCAAAAATTACCAAAGATAAAAGAAAGCGCTTCACAGGCACAGGCAGGTCTGGGCAGCCGAAGAGCTGAGGCGTGGATTCAGCGCTGGTCCTTCTCCAGGTGGACGCCCTTCTGCTCCGCCTCCCGTGCCCAGTGCGGTAGCTTCTGCCAAGTTTAGGTTTCTGAGCACTGCTTGTCAGAAAGCAGGAATCCAGAGCGGGACAGTGGCACGGCCCGTAATCCCACACTGGGGAGGCTGAGGTAGGAGGATCACTGCAAAATTCAAGGCCACCCTGCAATACACAGTGAGACCCTGTGTAAAAACGCAATGCAAACAAAACAGAGAGATCTGTGGGGTTTGGAAGGTTAATCCTTCAGGAGAAACAGCCGGGATTGGGCCAGGCAGGCCCAGAAATCCTTTGTATTATTTTCCCATTCACAGACAGCTGGGGTGCTCCTTCTGGAGCACCCCAAGATCTCCCGTTACAGCAGGAATCTTGGGAGTTTCACCTTTCTCCTTTTGAGGAGAGTGTCTTGATATCTTTTCACACCGTCCAGTCCTCAAGCTGTTTGGCCACACAATTTTAATAATTGTTTGTTTGAGACAGGTCGGCCTTATATGACAAGCATGCTTAATAATTCTGTTTACTCTCATTTTGTTTCTTTCCCAATTTTAATAATTGTAAAAGATTGGCGTGGCTCAGGTCCCTATCTGAGGAGCCACAGCCTAGTGGGCTGAGAGCATCTTGCTCGAGTCTGCAGATAGGGGGCCAGGACCACAGCGGGGCTGAGCCCGAGGATGGGATGCAGCACAGAAGATGGGGCGCCAGCGACTGCTGCCCTCTCCCTGCACCCCAGCTTGGTCCTTGCCGCAAGGCTCTGGGGCCTCCCTGGAGACGGTGTCTCTTGGGCAGAGGGCGCAGGGCAGAGAGGAATCAGGCCCCGAGCTTGCCCACCTCTGCCCACATGAGGCTGCAGCTCCACCCCGAAGCCCGCGGTCCAGGCCCTGGTACACTCTTGTCAGCCTAAACCGCCAACCTCGAAGCGCGGGTCTTTGCCTCAGCGCGTGAAACTGGAGACTGTGAAACAGGACCTGTGACCCATGTGCTATGAAGCAAAGCACAAGTCCAGTTGCCTGGTGTGGTGGCGCACGCCTGTGATCCCAGCACTCGGGAGGCTGAGGCGGGAGGATCACCTCCAGGTCGAGGCCAGCCTCTAAATAAAACACTCCTCCCAAGGTGAGGATGAGCTGGGCTTCTTGGCGACAGCCCTGTAGAGCAGAGAGAGAGATAGAAGCCAGCCTCTTCGCCCCAGTCTCCGCCGCCCAAAGCCACAAAGCAGGGAGAAGTGGAATGGGCCAGGGCAGATCCTGGGCTTGGGAGCCAGCAGGAAAAAGGCCCCAAACCCCGGGTCCCTGGGGCTAGGCAGATGGTTGCCATGGTAACTCAGCATCCAGGATCAATTGGTGTTACTTTGTTGGAAGAGGGGACCAAAAGTTTGTGGTAAATGAGAGAGAAAAGGCTTTTTTGGAAGAGGATCCAAAGTGGCTTAAAGATTCTGGCTTGAACTTTTGAATAATTAAGTGTCTTGGGAAAACAAAACAGAAATGCATCAAACCAGTCAGCCTCGCTCAGCCTCAAGGGGCAGACACGGCCGAGACAGGAGCACTAAGACAGGAACCCGAAGGCCTCCTAACTTATCTGAACAGGATCCACACCTCCCCTCTCCAGGGAGGTCTTGCTGTGCAGCCCAGGGTGGCCTGTACCTCCGGATCTTCCCGCCTCAGCCTTCCGAGTAGCCAGGAATAGGCAAGCAGTGCCATGTCAGGCACACGGGCTCGTTTCTGTGGGACCCGGAGCTCTATGAGAACTCTCCCACCTCGGCCTCCCGGGTACTCTCAGTGGCGTCCGCGTGCGACGACTCTGCACCCCTGCTTGTGTCTCCGCAGTCCACCCCGGGCCGTCACAGCTTCATTTTCCTTGTGGAGGGGCAGGGAGGCTTCCCCGCACAGTTCATCGCGGGCCGGGGGGGCCCCGGTGGAAGCTGCTTGACTCCAAGGCTCCAGGACCCCGCCCGCTGCTGTCGATGCTGGGTCTGAGGACTGAGTCGTGGGATCCATGATCCCCTTGTCTCAGGGCTGTGGTTTTATTGGAAAGTTTTTGGAAAATTACTATGGACTAGGAAAACAAACAACCTTTAAGACAAGGTGCAGAACTCAAAGGAAATCAGATCTATGGGACAGGCCCAGGCTCCCCTCCTAGTGTCAGAATTAGTGATTTATCCAGAAAACCTGGAAGCCAGGCCTGCTGGCTCACAGATGTAACTTCAGCACTTGGGAGGCTGAGGCAGGAGGATCATGGCCAGCCTGGGTTACAACATCAGACCCTGTCTCCAAAAAAAGACAGGATCTTGCTATGTACCTCAGTACCCTAGCTAACGAGAGCCTCTGATAGGAGTTCATGGTCCTCGCACAGAGGCCAGGTCTGCAAAGACCGACAATAGAGGTAAGATACCAAACAGAAACCAAGACGCACGAAATGGGGAACTTTCCCATGGTGTTTGCTGCTAGGTTTCAACTCAGAAACCCAAATGCACGGTTTGCAGCCAGGAATAAATGAGGGCGACCCCGTGCTTCGTGAGCGATAGGCGTGCTCAGGGTCGAGGGTGAAAGTGCCTGCCAGGGAGAGGCGGGCATCGAGGACAGCGGTGTCCCCCACCTGTCCCCTCTGAGTCCAGGCTCCTGTCTGCCCCACAAGCCTGAGAGGCCCGGCTTTCTCCTGGGTGCTGGGAAAACTTTTTAAGACCACGCCAGGGCCTCTGCAGTCGCCTTGAGTCAGCGCCTGGTGGTTTCCTTGCTGGTGAGCCCACCAGGAGGTGCCCACAGCGGAGAGGCCGGCAGGGCTGTGCCCAGTTCCTCACGGTTCTTTCTGTGTTTAGGCTTTTGAGACAGGATCTTGCTATGTAGCCCAGGCTGGCCTGAAACTCACAGCGATCTTCTTGCCTCAGCCTCCCAGCTGCTGGAATTGTAGGCATGAGCCACCACGCCTGGCGGCTACCCCTTTCCAAAGCAGTTCTGGGAATCCCCTTTCCTGAGTGTTTCCATGAGATGATCAAAAACAGTGACCGCTGCTGCCCAGCACCGTCCACCGGAAAGGCGGCCCCTAGAAACCTGAGGCTGCCCCTGTGTCCACCTTACTCACCAGATCGGGCACCCTGTGACTCCTGGCTCTTCCCCAAGTCACGAGGACCATGGAAGGGCAACGTTTCGAATCCATGCAGGACACTGAGGCAGCCAGGCCGGCGCAGCTAAAGACCCTCAGGAAGGAGCCTGGCAGTGATGCCGGGTGGGGTGAGGGGCCGAGTGTGCTGGTGCAGGGGGAGGGCGCGAGGGGGCCCGGGCAATGTACCTGCCACTGTCATCAGTGAGGTGCCCCCTTCCCCAGTGCTCAGTGCATGGAGAACCTCAGGTCGCCTTCATGTCTGCGCTGCTGGCCACAGGCCTTGGGCTGCCGGGAGGGGAGGGCTAGAGCTGGCTTCACCCGGCCTGCGCAGCGTCCTCCCAAGGCTGCACATTCTCAGGACCCTTGCTCTTAATGTGTTTGGTTTCTTGAGACAAGGTCTCGCTGTGCAGTCCAGGCTGGCTTTGAACTCACTGTGTGGCCCAGGCTGACCTTCCTACCTCAGCCCCCTGCTGCCTTTAGATAGTTAAAACAGCAGCTCCCTGCGTGACCACCCCTAAGTCCAGGAGTGGAAGGAGCAGCTGAAGCACGGGGAAGTGGGAGGGTGAAAGATGCCGTCCTGGACAGTGAGCTTTCCCAGGCCTGGCCGGGCTCCCCCACTTCCTTGTCCCGTTCTGCAGTCCCCCCATGAGACAGGCGTGAGCTGCGCTGAGCCGGACACCAGGGAGCCCCGTGGGGACCTCTGTTCCCAGTCTAAGGGTGCAGGACCAGAGGACCAAGGCGGCCCAGCCCGTGGTCAGGGAGGGCCACGACAGGCACAGTGGCCCTGGGTGCTGGGGACAAACCCAGCCCTCCACTTCCTCCACCTACCAGATGACTTAAATAATTTTCTTCCTCTTGGCTTAAATACTTTGCATATCCAGAAAGCCTTTAGATTAAAAAATAATTCTGGTTCCCGTTTTATTTTCTTTAGTGACTGTTGCTTCTGTTTTAAGTATGCAGATATACGTGGTCCTGGCACAGCTGTCATCCCAGCCCTCCAGAGGCTGAGGCAGGAGGATCACCATGAGCTCCAGGTCAGCCTGGGTCACATAGTGAGACCCTACCTCAAAAACAGAAAAGCAAACAAAACACTAAATAGGTGCATGCTTCCAAGAATCCTTTCAACAGAAGTGATAGGATTTGGTAGATTTTCCTAGCAAGTCAGAAACTGGCTTAGCAACATACCGAAAAAAAGTTTATACTAGATGTTTTGTTATTCATAAGCTTCTGTTATTACTACTTAGATTATCTAAGTGTTGTCTTTGCTCTTCTGGGAGTACCTGGGGTTTAATTTATTCTTCTACTCGTTTAAGGTGAAAACTTTGGCCATTCACTATAGCACTGTTCCTCTCTTCTGATTTCAGTATTTAGTGTTCTGTGAAATTTCATCTTCAACATGATTCCAACCAGAACCCAGGTTTTGTTATGTTATGTTGTAGTTTTTCACCCATTTCAAGATTTTTTTCTTTGCTTTTTTCTTTTATTGGGATTGAACCCAAGGAGCATTAAACTCTAAGCCCAGCTCTTTTTCTTTTTTTTCTTTATCCTGAGACCGAGTCTCACTAACCTGCCTGGGCCGCCTTGGGCTTCCGCCCATCCCGCCTCAGCCTCCTGAGTAGCTGAGATTACAGACGTGCACTGCCACGCCCGGCTCCAAGTACTGTCTTCTTTTTACTGTGTGCTACTTAGAAGTATGTCACCTGACACAAATACTTGAGGGTTTTCCATTAGTCTAGGAAACTTGATTCCTCATTTCTGCTGAGGAGGAGAGATTTTTTTTCCCTCCCCAGCCCCCGGTTCCTGGCTGGAGGTCGGACTGGAGAGAGGGGCAGGAGACTCACTGAATGGCAGTTCTTTGGGGTGGGGACTGGAGTGCAACCCATCTACATCATGGGGGAGACCTGCAAGGGAAGCCTGCTTGGATGCCTGGGATGGACAGGACAGGAAATCCAGGAACACAGCGAAGAGGAACTGTGCCACCTGGAGGACAGGGGCACAGCAGGGGACAGAGACCTTCCTGAGGGTCCATCCCTTGGCCTCTCCCACAGGCGGGGACATGCAGTCATCTTTGCTCCAACTCCTCCTGCGTCTTCTGCGGTGCTCTGTGTGCGCGGCTTCCCACCTGGCAGTTGAGTTGTCTGGTAATGTGAGAGCTTTTGTCTGGCGGATTGGTTTGGTGAGGGTGCGATTTAGCTTGTTTAATTTTGAGACAGGATCTCACTGTGTAGCTGTGTTGATTAGTTTTCTCTGGTTACTGAGACAAAAATACCCGACGCCCAAAATTAAGGGAGGAAAGGTTTATTTAGCTCACAGTTTGTGGAGGTTTCGTTGTGTACTCTGCTGGCTCCAGGCAGGGTGGCACGGGGCAGAGGGCAGCTGTCAAGGGAGGCAGAAGACAGCAAGAGCTAAAGGGGAGAGCACGGAGAGAAGACTCCTTCTGTCCCTTACGTTTTATGCAGGCCACTTTAGGGTGGGTGTAGATTATGGGTGTAGACCACCCATAATCCCAGCATTGGACCGTGAATCTTACACAAAATCTAGAAGTCCACCTCCCTGACTGCATGGGGCTTTGGGGCGACATTCAGGTACCATAACAGTAGCCCAGGCTGGGTTTGAACTTATGATTCTCCTGTCTCAGCCTCCTGAGTAGCTGGATTACTGGCATGCACCACTGCTCCTGGTTGCGTGACTTTTTTTTCCCTTTGATTTTTTTTTTTTTTTTTTTTTTTTTTTTTTTTTTTTTTTTTGGAGACAGAGTCTCTCTGTGGAATGCAGGCTGGCCTTGAACTCACAGTGATCCTCCTGCCTCAGCCTCCCAAAGGCTAGGATCACAGGCATGCATCACCACACCTTGCCTGACTTTTCAAAAAGAGGTATGGGTCATGTTTGTAGCCCAGGAATCAAACATTACGTGGGGAATACAGATGATCACTCTTTTTAGAATAGTACCTCTTCTGCCAACAGCTGTATTTTTGTGTTTGTTTCTTTTTAAGATTAAGGCAAAGCGATATTAATTTTACCCCAAGGCTTTTGCAGCACCCCTCAGAACCCCGACAGGCACCCAGGATTCTGGTCCGAGTCTGCAGCAGATTTGAGTGGGCAGTGTCCCTCAGCCAGGCTTGTGCAGCCCAACGGCCAGGCTGCCCCGGCCCAGTGCATGCATCAGGTCTGCAGCGCCAGGCCCAGCTCAGCCCTCCGGGATTTCAGTTCCCTAAACCAGCAATACATTTTCTTCCTTGTTGTTCTTTAATTCCCTCCAAGAAAACCTGGATAGAAATCAAGCCCAGCCAGTTCTGCTGGTTCTGGCCCTGAGCGTCACTTCTATCTTTAAAATCACTGGGCCTTCGCCATGTGCTGAGTGCTTTTAATTAAGCCAAATAAAACAAGCCTTAGCCTGAGCACGGAGCAGTGTGATTCCAGATTCCGGGCTTTACTACGGCGAGTGGGGGGGCAGCCAGGAGAGGGTGACCTGCGGATTTCTTCAGCCTGACGCTAATGTGAGGCTATCCTCTATGCAAACGTCTCTCTTAAATATTCAGCTCAGTGTGGAAACACTCACAGGCTCACAGTTTGTTCTTTTGCTCTTAGCTCATATTCTCCTACATTTCTTGTTGATTTCTGCTTCTCAAACTTCCACAGATTCTAACCACAAAAAAGGACCTCACGCCTTGTTTCCTTAATCAGGCAGGGTGATTCTGCTTGGTAGGATCAAGCTGTGTTCTGTTTTGTTTGAGACATGGTCTCGCTGTACAGTTCAGGCAGGCCTTGGGTTTGCCACGATCGTCCTGCCTCTGGGATGACAGGCGTGCACCACCACACCTAGCAGGAACAGTTGGTGCTGAGGACCTGGAGGGACCTTGTCCCAACCTTGAGGACCAGCCCCTGCTGGACAGAGCCCTGCTGCACATGGGCTGGACTAAGGCAGGGCTGGTGTGGGAACACAGCATTAGGTACTGACCTGCCTGCGCTGGCCAGCTGTGAAGCAGCCACAGACTCGAGACCTACAGGGCCCAAGAGAAGTCTAGAGGCCTAGGCTGGCAGGAGGGCGGCTTCCTCCTGTGTCCTGCACTTAGAGCTTACACTGGGCTGCCCTGGGAGGCCACGGGAGCCCCTGGGCCTGCCGACTTTGGAAACCTTTCCCTGGGCTCTGTGTGTGTCCGGGGCACCCAGCTGCTGCTGCTGCTGCTGTAAGCAGAGAGATGTAAGGTTTTCCCAGGCCTGCCAGGGTCCTGGTGTGGGGACAGCCTGCATGTGGCCCCAATGGCTACGGTTGTGACCATTGTCCTCTGGCTGCTGAGCAAGAATCGCCAGTCCTGGACGCCCCCCGGAACCCCCTGGACAGTGGCGTGGTTGCAGGGCCGTGAGGATGCCAGCAGGGGAGGCCCGAAGGCCACCCCCACGTCTTCCCTTCTCAGCGGTCTTCCTCGCGGGGGGTTCTCGTCCTTGTGTTTCACTCGACTCAGTGGCGGCTTTAGGGTCCTCTGCAATGGGGTCTCTTGGGCCTGGGGTCCAGTCCTGACTCTCCCCTGACTGTCCCCTGAACAGAGCTGCACGCGGTCAGGGTGGTGCCTGTGAAATACTCAGCAAGGGAGGAGATGAGCGAGCTCTGGCCGGGGTAGGGACAGGAAGGAAAAGGGGTCTAAAGGGAGAGCGGCCCAACGCGTGGGGCACTCGGGAGGCTGAGACAGGAGGACCTTGAGTCCGAGACCAGCCGGGGCTGCATCCTGAGACCCTATCAAAAACCAGCAAGACAGATGCATCAGGACAGGACCCGCACAGCACCGCTTTTCCATGGAGGTGGATCTGCTTTCCCACACTGCAGGGCTCTCCTCAGCCTCATTGCCTGCCAGGGAGGCGACGCGGGCCGAGAGGTTTTGTTGTGTTTAGTGCGGTGAAGATGCCAGGTTCATTGCCCAGGGCACCCGACCTACGCGGCAGCCTGGGTCTCAGCTGCTCACTGTCCCAATGAGGTGTAGGAAGCTGAGACTCAGGAGTGGGCGGAGTGGTCACAATGCTGACAGCCAGGATGGCAGCATCAGGACTGGACCCCAGGTCCATCAGACCCCGAGGACCCTACTCCTGCGCCACCAGGCCTTTGCCCACAGCATGGGGACCCAGGGCAGGAGACCTCGAAGGCCAAGTCCCCACCCACAAACCTCAGCCTGGATCAGATGTCAGCCACGGTCACCTGCTGCAGAGATACCCAGGTGTGATGCACCCGACAGGAAGCCATGAGTGATCTTCCAAGCTGGGCGGCCTCATACTTGCTTTTTAGCTTTTAATGGGACTGCTCAGGTGGGATTTTAGAACTGACTTGTGCAGTTAACCATCACTGTCAACTTGGCTGCACTAAGGGGTGACTGAACCGTGGGCCACTGTGATGTTCAGTGGATTCCCACTGATGTTCATAGCTCGCTGTGCCGTTAAAAGGTGGGACCCAGCTGGAGGAGCTGGGGTCTCTCTCTCCCTCCCTGTGCTGTGCTCCTGGCCATGAACCCGGAAGCTTTGCCTCCTCCTTCCATCACGCCGTTCCTGCCTTGGAGCCAACCATGAACCGAATCCTTTGGAGCCGTGAGCCGAGATGAGCCTCCCCTTTCTAAGCTGTGAGTGTCAGCTGGCTGGTGCGCCCCTCACAATGACAGCCGTCCTTGCCTTGCCACACAGGTGGACCAGCAGCAGTACGGGAATGTCAGCCACTTTCCAAAAAGAAAAACCCCCGAAACCAGGACCCTACATATCAAAAATGTTTGCTAAGTTGTCATCCCAAATAAATAATTGAAACAACATTTTTGGTAAGCAAGCCTACACACACCTGTGCTCCGTGTTTTCTTGCTAGGTAGAACATTGCAAGAATTATTTAAAGCTCTGTAGTCTTTCAGCACATGCAGGTTGCACTGCGACTTTTAGATTCTGCATCTCAACATGTAAGCTGAAGGCCTGGGTGACACGGAAGAGTCCAGCTGAGTGAGCTGACTCCAAGAGACTCAGAGTTCAGCTCAATCCTGGAGAAGCTGACCGAGATATAATACAATGTGTTCTCCTTGGGCCCTGGGGCGTTTATTTAGCAGCAGAACCACTGGGAACCCAGCCTGGGGCTCACACAGTTCTGGGCGCTGTGGGAGCCGGGAGAGCTGGGGTCACGGGCTCCCCTTTGCCCCGCTGGTGTCTATAGAAGTGGTGGCAGGCAGGGACCTGACTACCAGGCGCCGTGGCCTGGGTGCTGGTCTGTCTCTGCCTCCTTGCCCAGGGATTTCTGAAGTTCTGGCTGGTGAACTGGGCCTTGCTACCCCCAGCCCCCAGCCCCTCAGTTCTGAGGCTCTGGCTGCACCTGACCAGGTGCTTGGGTTGCATGGTGCGCCAGTCTTGATCCACCAGAGATGAAGGGGTCCTCTCCTCCACCTCTCGGACCATGTGGCAGCCTGACACTGCTGGGGTGCACCAGCTCGCACACCTGCAGGGACACTGTCAGCCAGTCAACTGGGAGCAGCAGGTAGCTGCAGGCCTTGTCGTTCACGGCCTTGGCAATGGGCTTCGCGTTGGTCACTATGAGGTCATCTGCACCTGCTGGGGTCACGGGGGACTTGAAGTCAAGGTTGCACTGCACAGAGCTGAGGAGCTCAGATGAGGAGCTAACCGGAGGGTGCAGTGGTTTTATTGCTGTGCTCAGCAGCCTTTGACACACCCCGGCCCGTGCAGTGGGTTCTGTCATTGTCACGCAGCTCCTGGCCTCCTAGATGCCACTGCAGGCACCGAAGAGAACTTTGGAGGTGCAGAGGTCAATGTCAACTGAGGGGTTCCCATGAGGGCCAAAGCTCCCTTGCGCGTCTTGAGTGTGGGCATGTGGGCTTCAAGGCCCAGAAGGAGGGAGAGGCTGCTGCAGATGCCATGGTGCACGCACCTTAGGTGAGATGCTGGTACTCCAGGCCCCGAGCAGGACATTTTGCTCTTCAGTAAAACCCTAGCATCTGCACCCTGCTCTCTTCATAGAGCGATCAGGCAGGCACTTGCATCCTTCGGCCTGGCCGGCTGGGCCTTGGCGCTTGCCTGGCGGAAGCTTGTGCTTGTCCCAGGTCCCCTCTGTGTCCCTCTCTGCCCTGACCCGGGCCCAGTACAGAGGGGAAAAGATGGGGGCAGGCTCACCTGGGACGTTTCCGGGACAGGAAGCCGGGTGCCGTGGAGTCCAGGGGTCCCCACACACAGTCGCTTTGCAGGTGCCACAGCCTGGGTGCCGTGGAGACTGGACTTTGGGGAACCCCAGAGGGGCGCAGTTTCTTCTGTCTGTTTGCTCAGTGCCCTGGACCCCCCTCTCCCTGGTTAGCCCTGCCAGCCAGGAAGCACAGAAAGCCCCACAAAGGTGCGTGTCCCCGAGTGAGGGTTTACGTTGTTGAGCCATATTTTGAGTGTTTCAAGAGAAAAAAAATAATGCTGCCATTTATTCATTCATTCACCTGATGTCCGGTTATTCTGCGGTGCTGGGGGCCGAACCCGGGCCTCCTGCGGGCTGAGCGAGCCCTGCACAGCTGGGCTGCACCCCAGCCCCCGCGCTTCTCTGAAGTCGGGGGCTTCAGAGCTTGTGCTCGGCTTTGGTCACTGTGTCCCTGAATCGTGCGCTGTGGAGCGGAAGGTGTGGATGGGGGGGAGGCTTTCCCACTTACTGGAAAAGGGGACTTGGTCTTGGTCTCGCCCACGTAGTGCAGGCTGGCCTGGAACTCACAGCCATCCTCCCGCCTCAGCCTCCCGAATGCTGGGATTACAGGTGTGTGCCACCACATCCAGCTTGAAAAAGGAATCTGGAGCAAGATTAAGCAACTTACCTCCATTTAGACCCCTCCATGCCATGCCCTGTCTCCTGGACCCCTTCCCATCTGCCCCCGTCTGTCTGTCTGTCAGTGTCTGCAGGTCTCAGCTCTGGCCCTGCAGTGCTCTTTGGGGATGCAAGTGTGGTCTCCGTTCTCTCGGCCTCATCCCACAGCAGGGCACTGTGGTGTCCAGGTGGATGAAGACCATTCCGGCCAAGCAGGCAGGGACCCCGCGGGCCGAACCGGTTCTTTCAGGACAGAGGCCATAACCGCTTTCCAGGAGCCCGCTGGCCACTCACGCTCCTGAGAAGCTTCCGTCTGTTCTGTGCTCGCTGTTTTCTGGGCCCCTTCCCCCGGGGCAGCCGCATTCTCTTCAGCTGTTAGTGTGTGGTGGACGGTGGTCTCCTGTCCAGGAGCAGCTGGCGAGACTTTTCCCTCTTTGGAGGCCCCGACTCTTCGGCTCCTCGGCTGCTTCCAGAAGGGTTGGATGTGCTGTGACCTCCACTGGTGGTTCCTGGCACCTCTCAGAACCTAAAGGAGAGCCCAGCAGAGAAATGACCATAAATTAGGAGCTGGATGTGGTGGCTCACACCTGTGATCCCAACCCTAGGGAGGCTGAGGCAGGAGAATCACCTGGGTTTGAGGCCAACTTGGGTCACACAGTGATTTCATTCCCAGGCTGAACTACAGAACAAAACGCTGTCTCAAACAAATAAACAAAAACAGAACTCAGAAGAGAGGGAGAGGGAGAGAGACGCAGCTGGGGGAGGACAGTATGGAGGAGTTAATGTCCTAAGGCTTTGTCATGCAGTTGTGCTCATGGGCACAGAGTGAGGTTTTGAAGCATGTATATGTGAAATGGTTAAATCAAGCCGGTTACATTCACCACCATCTACTCCGAAGTTTGGAGCTGAGAACTTCTTGTGTGTGCCCCTCACCAAGTGTGAGTCATGCGACATGCTATCCCTGGCCTCGGTCACTGGGCAGAGCTGGACGTCACTGGCACTGATTTCCGCTGTGTCTCCCAAGCCTGGTGCCTCGGATCAGCATGCCCCCCACTCCTGGCCATCCTTGGGTAACTGCTGTTCCACTGGTTCCCCCATGCATCCCACACATTCGGGGTTCCCCCTGCCCATCTGTAGAACAGGTTTTTTATTTACTCACCCGCAGTTAGGTTGATCCTGCATCTTGGCCATTGTGAGCAGAGCTGCAATAAACACGGGTCAGCAGACATTTCCTGGGAATAAGGGTTTCAGTTCCTTTGGCTGTAAACGAGGAAGTGAGTTTTCTGAATCATGTGGTAGTTCTATTTCTGGTTTCTGGAGGACTCTTCACAGTTTTTCCTTCTGGGGACCCTCATTTCCATCCCTGCTCTGGGGCGCCGTCTCCTGTGCTCCACACCCTGGAAACTATTACCTTTCACTGTTTTTTGATTTTGTTTTTGTTGTTTTGAGACAGGGTCTCACAATTCAGGCTGGCCTTGAACTCAGTTGTGTAACCCAAGCTGGCCTTGAATTCACAGCAACTCTCCTGCCTCAGCCTCCTGAGTGATGGGATTCCAGGCCCCTGGCACGTTTCATCTTTTTGAAGACTCCCATTCCGACAGGAAGGAAATGAGTGATTGTATTTGGCTTCAGTTTGCATTTTTGAGTGTAAGGTGATGGTGATCTTCCCTTGGCTCTGTTTGCCTCTCATGAGCCTTTTCTTGGAGCGAAGTCTGCCCCGTCCTTCCCACATGCTGGACAGGTCACCTTCTCACTGGTGCACTTTGGAGCCAAGGGGCTGGGACGCGTGAGCCCCTCGGCCTGGAGGCTGCAGCGGTGGAGTCAGGTTCTGCCCGCCCTGTCCAAGCCTGGTCTCTCCCACTCTTCTGTCCTGCTCTGTGCCAGAACCAGTGCGTAACACACACGGGACAGAGCTCTTTTTTTTTCATTTTCAAACGTAGAATATACCTGTAAGGCTGATCACTGGTAATCCAGGCCAACTATGCCCAAAATGCTGTACTCAGGGTACTCAGGGTAGGGACATGGCGTGCCTCACCATGCAGTGACACCAAACTCACAAGATGTCAAAGGGGCCATTGCGGAAAGGAGAGCAAGCGTTTGGAGAGGGGTCGCATGGTGAAGAGAACCTTAAACATGTGAGGTAGCAGCTACCAAGCGTGGTGTTTTGGGTACAGAAGTCTGTTTTATTGCTTTAATTGCTCTCTCTCTCTCTCTCTCTCTCTCTCTCTCTCTCTCTCTCTCTCTGAAACTTCTGGACAAAGAGCAGAGACCAAGGCATTTATGAAGTCAGCCTTGTAATTGCCAGGAAGCAGCGAGCTTGCCAGGAATCTCCCTGTGAGCTCCTAAGGGGGGATGAGCTCATGGACGCATACACATAAAGTCGGATCATTACAAAGCTGAATTAAAATGCATTAAATGTGGAACTCTGGTATACACCCCGGAGGGCTCCCCAACATGCAGAGAGCAGGTGAACAACCTGGGAGTTTAAAAGGGGACCTCAGATCCTCCCAGGCTGCGGTCCAGAGGTACTAAGCACCGGACCAGAAAAGCACTTTCCAGAAAGTGCTGTGTGTGAGGCCCTTGCCTCTCATGGACACGGCTGAGTGCAGATTTAGGAAGCGTGATTTGCCTTCCCTCTCTGTGGTCTCCACAGCCCCTGGACCAAGAGACGTGTGTCACTGTCCCCCGAGTAGGCGTTCACTGAATAAAAAGGTAAGGATGTATGTGCGGGCGTCTCCCGGATCCTCTCCCGGGGTAAGTTTGGCTTCTTTGCAGTTAGGTGTGTGGTGCAGCTTCTTAGCAAAGCTGTCGGTAAACAGTCAGGTGCTTCTGTTCATCCTGCGCTGCGGGGATAACAGGGAAGCCCAGCCCAGAGTGTCCCATCCAGAAGGGGACCACGTGGGGGCCCAGAGTTTCCTGCAGGCTAAAGGAGACACTTTAAAGGCCTAAAGGTAGAAGAAAGGGGCCACCGATTGAAAGGGAGAAATAAGTGGTTTTTTTTTTACAAAAGCAAGTTTAAAAACGTGAGTTAAAATCTAGGGAGCCCTAAGACAATGAAAAGCATTAAAACTGGGAGAAGCGGAAGGGGAAGGAGATTTATGTGCAAAAGTAAGATTGGTTTACATCCCATCATGTGCAGCAGTCAGCTGGACATTGTTCTCAGAAATAACCACAATGTGGGGGCGATTCCTCGCAACAGGAAGTGCCCGTGCTGAGACAGACAGAGGAGACTGCGCGTGGCATCCAGGAGGAAACGAGTCCAGCGCCTGGCCCGGGGTAAAAATAGCGGGCAACCTGTCGCTGTGATCCCGGCAGCCACGCACTCAGAGGGCAAAGCGGGGAAAGAAAGGAGCGCCGGCCTGTTTGGGTTTCCTTCCTCACCGGGCTGCACCCGCAGCCACCCCATAGGTCTGTAGTTCACTGAGATCTAGGGGAGAGTGGGGCCCCAAACCAGCCAGGTCCTGGCAAGCACCCCGCCGCAGGCCTGAGCACGGGGGCCTCTGGCAGCCAGCAGCCCCCCGGTGGGTTTTGTGATGAAGCTTTCATTTCGGGGTAACACCGGGCACCCTCAGAACGGGCACAGGGAGAAGGAGCCTTGCCTGCTGTACCTAAGGGGAGGCGCCAACCTCCAGGGCCCTGCAGCACAGGGTCCGGCCTAATTCAAAGGAGGTGAGCGAGCTCCAGACTGATTCTCATCGCAAAGCCAGGCGCTCCCCTGTGAGCCTCCTTCCCGCTTTTCTTCAGCAGCAGAAACTGCACAGAAGCCTGGCGGCCCAGCCCAGCAGGGAGGCAGGCTGCAGGCGGAGCTGGAGCTGGGTGCGGAATTCCGCTGATTCCCGGGCCGCTGGCAGCTCGCTTAGGCTCCGTCTCCCACACACCGAGCAACCTGTTTCATGCTCTTTCCTTTGAAGTGATTCCATGTTTGGGGCCCGTTACGCCATGAAAGGCTTTGTGCTTCCTTTCTTGGTTATTTGGGGAATAATAGAAATACCAGCCCGTTTGCCTCCGAGCTAAACCCAAGTGACTGCAGCCCAGGACCCTGCTTTTTTACACTTCGGGTTTTAATATTTGTTATTTGACATTTTCACCATTCTGCCTCTAACTTCCCTCTTTTTTCTGCTCCTGGAGACCGTCCCAGGCCCGTGTGTATTCTAGGCCAGGGCTCCGGCCTTACGCTTTGCTTTTTGTTTTGGAAACAGGATCTTGCTAAGTTGTCCCTGCTGACCCCAAGCTTGAGATCTTCCTGCCTCAGCCTTCTGAGTAGTTGTGACTCCAGGTGTCCCACCATGTCCAGCTCACCCCACTCTCTACTAGACTGAGGAAATTTTATTTTCCTACAGGCATTTGAATCTATAGCAACAATCATACATATGCCCACAATTACTCAGAGAAAGTGTTGTGTAGGTAACATTTATTTTTAAAAAATCAGTGTCTGCTACGTGGTGTAAGCCTGAGCCCATTTCATTTCCTGCGAAGGTTTTCTCAGGGGGTAAAGTAACAATCTAGCTCCAGGGTAAAGATCATCTCACCAGGGCAGTATAAGAAAAGTGGTTTGGAGGCGGTGGACCCAAGTTCAAATCCTGCCTGTGCCTGCCTAGCCCCTTTGCCCTTGAAACCTGAAATCCTTGTGTCAAGTGGAGATGCTACCCTGCAGCCTGAGGGGGGGCGGGCAAGGCCTGGCGAGGGCTAAGCGCAGGAAGGGACCTCAAACACCAGGAGAGTCTGAGCTTCAGGGCACAGCACCCGCCCCCTGTTATTTAAATGAGCCTCACTGTGCCCTCTTGGCAGCTGTCTGCAACCACTCAGGGTGTGGGAAGGCCCTCAGGGCCCTGTACTCCTGGGAATCAGACTGCAGGAGGAAAGCTCCCCTCGGAGTCCCCAACTCCCCCTGCTCTGTCCAGCTTCCCCTGGGTCCCCCTGGGCCGTGGACTCCCTGGGGAAAAACAAAAGGAAAGGGCTAAAGAAGGTAGAAAGTTCTTGATGCTGGCAGAGTTCTTTAAAAAAACTGAAGACAGGCATGGTGACACCTCATAGTGCTTGCACTCAGTGAGGCTGACCTGCAAGTGAGTTTCAGGCCAGGCCTGGTACGCCATGAGTTCAAGGGCAGGTTGAACCGTGAGATAAGACCCTCCCTCAAATAAAAACAAGCAAAAAAAAAAAAATACAGCATAGAAACAAAGCACACATGAGTTCAGTGCAGCCCAGTGACAGAGCGCTTGCCTAGCACATGCAGGGCCTTGGGTTAATCCCCAAGACCTCGTGGATGGATGGGTAGATGGATGGATACAAGGATAAAAGACAGGTAGACAGGTAGATGGGTGGATAGATAGCTGGATATATGGGTAGACTGGTGGATGAATAGATATATATATATATGGATAGATGGATGATAGATGTATGGGTAGAAGAATGGATGGATGAATGGATGAGTACATGGATGAACAGATGAACAGATAGATAGGTGGATCCATGGATAGATAGATAGATAAATGGAAATGGGGTGGTGGATAGATATGTGTATGTATGTATGGATGAATGGATACATGTGTGCATAGATGGATACCTGGATAGATAGATGGATAGACAGATAGATATATGGATAAATGGGATGAGTGGGTAGATACATGTATGGATGTAGATGTATGTATGTATGGATGGATGGATAAAATTCCCTTGTTTACTTTTCTTATCCTTTTGCTCCCAATCTCCTGGATCCATTAGTTCGTTTTTTTTCCAAAGAAGAGTCCAGCCATGCACACCCTCTCATTCTTGGCCAGTCTCAAATTCTGGGGAACAATATGGGAAGTGGCCTGAGGCCGCTTCAGTTCTGCACCTGACCCTGAGCTACTTGTTTGCTTCCTGGTCTGTCTCTGCCATTTTCTTCAAGAGGGCATCAAAGTGACCCTTACCTTGGTGGAGTGAGAGGGGTCTGCATCCCGTGACCCTCGGACAGAACCAAAGTCCCCAAGTGACTTAAATCCATGCTCTTTGCGTGCTTCACCAGGAGAGTGGGGGAGAGACAACAGACAGAGACAGAGACAGAGACAGCAACAGCAGACAGAGACAGAGACAGAGACAGAGACAGAGGCACTGACAGCACAATTTGCACCCAGGTGGAAAACAGTCCACACCCACCCGCCATGGGTCAGTTTTTCCTTCACTCTTGTCAAACCCTCAGAGAACAGGGAGCTCTGGGTCCCCCAAAGCAAAGGCAGGACCTGTGACTCACCCACCCAGGGGTTCACGGAGTCACCCAGGAGAATTAGCTGTGGATCGGTCAGGGAGAGGCACAAAGCGTTTGTGTTAGGTGGGATTTTAGAAGTCTGGGCTCAGAGTAGACTGCGGCTGAGAGGGTGTGCGGGGTCCGGGTGCAGGTGCCCTAGGGTGTCCTCTGGTGGGTGTCGGCAGAGGTGTGGCCCACGCAGAGTGCTCACCCAGCTTGGAGCTGAGATTCTGGGCCCCCTTGGGGAGGAGCAGTCTCCAGGTGGGAAGCCCAGCCGCAGCTCAGCTTACAGCCTTGTCCTGTCTCCAGGACCCTTACATTTTTCCCG